ATAATAATAATAACAATAACAATAATAATAATAATAATAATAATAATAATAATAATAATAATAATAATAATAATAATAATAATAATAATAATAATAATAATAATAATAATAATAATAATAATAATAATAATAATAATAATAATAATAATAATAATAATAATAATAATAATAATAATAATAATAATAATAATAATAATAATAATAATAATAATAATGATAATAATAATAATAATAATATGTGGTTTATTAAAATCTTCTTTGCAGCGTAAGCTGAATTACAAGGATATTACAAAATAATTCCAAGTTATTATATGCTAAGTTTATGCTAAAACAATTGAAAACTGTTACGTTAAAACTAACTGCTAAAGTTTGAGTTAAAACTCGTGATGCACTCGCAACGGTAAAAGAGTTTTTAAAACGTTCGGTTTTACATCTAGGAATGTTAAAATGTCTGTTTTTCCTAAGACTGCGATAATTGTTCCTTTCTGGGAGCAGATGGTGGGGTTTATGGGATTGGTTGGACATAATGTCAGTAAAGGTTTTTTCGGAATAGAATTGACGTCTTGCAGCCAAAGTTTGCAAATTAAATTCTGATAAGCAATCTTCATAAGGTGCACCGTTAAACATTATTTTAAACGCTCGCTTCTGTACTCTTTCTAGATCTTCGCTTAAATAATCAGGCAGGGAGTAATGGAATACTGGGGAAGCATATTCTAAGACTGGGCGGATGCACGTGCTGTAGAAAAGAATCAAGTCTTTTAACGGGATCTTTGCCTTTTTGAGCTCTTTTAGGAAGTGCATTCTCTTAGATGCCTTTTTAATAACAGATTCGATGTGGGTATTCTATTTAATAAGAAGTTATTGAAGTGTGTCTCTTGTGATCTTAACATCAGAATAATTACATGACATGAGGCGCTAAAACTAGAAGTTACTATCGCAAGGTAGGTACTGCCTAAGCCCGTGAGATTCAAAGGCAGCATATGCAATTTGCTGAATAAGGGGCTGTTTATATCATCCCGCTTTGCCAAGATGCGAGGCAGGGTTATTTTGATGTATTAAAATAAGTCGCAGTGCATTAAGAACTACTGTCGCGTTCCCGCGCCTCAATTGACTCGTGGAGCCAAAAACGACACGGTGTTCGCATGTGTCAACCACATTCGTATGTCTGGCTACATGTTTTAAATGATTTTATTCGTACAAATGCGGTGAAAACTACAAAAAATACACATAAAGACTAAATACGCTTAAATCTAACTGAAATACACCAAAATAACAAGGTAGCTTACGTCTATAGGCTTCTGTAAATGTAAAACTCGGATAAAAACTATGTATCGAAAATCGATATAGAAAAAAGTTCTTACTACGTTCTCTTGTTGCTAAGCAACAAAAACGCGAGCTGTCCTGGACTCCAGTTTCTTAAAAATAATTTTAGAAAAGTATTACCGTATATCTTAACTAACTTTAAATGTCAATGACTCAACAACTACATTATTTTCTAGTGATAGATTATGGTTAGCTGTAAACAAAAGATTATTCAAACATAATAATCTTCTTGAACTACAACATTTGAGTTATGTTAACCAGCATTTAAACTTTCGTTTACCTAGTGACTTATTTCAATACATCAAAACCATCCCGCTTTCCATTATGTAGACATGCAACCCCTATGACAGGCCGTCTTAGGGGCTGTTTACATGATGGAAGGTAGGATGATTTTGATGTAATGAAATGTATTGATTTTGATGTACTGAACATGCCGTTTAGGAGATAGGAAAAGTGCAATCAATTTGAATATGAAACACCTTGCAGAAAGTCGAAGGTCAGTTAAATGTTCTAATTATAATACCGTCACTGGCGAAGCTAGTCATAGGAACAGATCATAGAACTGTGAAACTATATAATAAGAAAGAAATTGTGAGCATTATCGAAAAATATAATATACTCTGAAATGTAGTTGCACAGCCAAATTAATATATAAATGTACTGGCTGGTAGGATTATTTCATATTATACCAATGTCTCAATCAATTCAGTGGGTGCCCTTCACCCCCCCCCCCCCTCGGGCATTTGTTGGGCATTGTCAACTGAGTAAAATAACAAATGCCCAACAAACGCCCGGGGACGGGGGATGGGAACCCATGGAATTGATTGAGACATAACAATGGACATATCTAGATGCCTCAAAGATATCTTATACAAGTTGAAATACTATTATATGTAATTGCTGGTAAGTCAGCACGTAGGAATCATATTACAGTAAGCCTGATTTAAAAACATTCCACGTTAGAAGTTAACACTATAAACTCATCGTCTTGGCTGGCTTGGACATAACAAACAAATAGACTCCGTAGTACATTTTGACTCCTTGTATAAATAAGGCATTATTGACGAATAGATCAGTGGACTATTTTTGAAATTGCCAATAAATTCATAAAATTATATTGTTTCAATACCTCAGAGCTCTTAAGTACATCTTGTCTCCTTGTATACTGTATATGTTGTAAACGACCATGCGGACAATGGGATTTTTTCGGGCTGTAAGAAGCGCCGATAAACTCATAAAAGCACAGTCATTGCTTGCCTCTGGAATGAACGCTAAACAGTTCATCACCTTGATGGATATAACCACCATCATAAACGCTCTAGTTATGAGTAAAATCAACTACTGCGCATCAATATGGTCCAATACATCTGAAGAGAACGTCAAGAAAATCCAGCCCGATTGGGTAAAACGCGGATATGACGATATTTAAAGTGTCGAAAAGTATATTTTACACCATATCCGTGTATTACCATATTTAAAACATATTTTAGAAAAAATAGATCATCTGTCATTCTGTCCGTCCGTCTGTATCTGCGTTTCACCCTAACCTGACTTGAATTGTAAATACGGTATTCAAAATCTCATTAACCCTTTGTATACCACCATCCGAATCCTGTACAGCGTAAAAGTCATCTTCGGTTTTCTGACCACAAATAGGATGGTGTTTCAAAATTTTATTTAAAATTCCCTTAATGTTCATATGATCCTGAGAAATATAATTAATGGGACTCTAAAGTCCCTATATGAATTACCACAGATAAAACACAAAAGAAAGGTTTGGAGAAATAGTATATTTGAAAGAAGAAAATGATTGAAAAGTTGAAAACGTTAAATATAACAAATAAAGTTAAATATTACATAAAAAAATTATATGTCAAACTGTTTAAATGAAACAGTACAAATCGTTCAAATACAATATTATAATTACATATAAAAATATATAGTTAATGCTAACATATATTTTTAAAAAAACTATATTTACAGCCAGCTATGTTTCACTCTTCAAACTCATGAAATTCATTGAAGCAATTTTTGCTTCTGTTGCTCGACAAAATATCTTGCACATGGAACAATGACTGTGTGGCCTGGATTCGACATTCTTCTGGGAACAAACCTCACAACGCCCTCGCTTATCTTCATAAACCACCCAGTGTGCTCCCCGGTTCTCTAATCGCATGGTTCTTGACACAAAATACTTAGTTTTTTTACGTTTCTTCGCAACTAAAGGTGGTGTGCGCAAGGGGCGCCCTACTTTAGGCTTGTGGGAAAAAGTCACTAGACTTAGGGCAACACATCTTCTAAATTGAAGTGCAGACATTGTTGTGTCCCCTAACTTATTATATGCAATCATTGAACTTATAACAGTGCGATCGATTATTCCAAAAAACTATTGTATGCCACCATTATTTTGATTTTCTGGTATCACCATATATAGGCTACCACAAAGCATATTATCAGCTTTATCTACACGCCCATATAGCTATTGTATTCTTTTATTGCAATTGGGCAGGGAAATTGCTTCTTTGGCCCATCTTTCTGAGTCCTCAAAATTTCAGAAACACCTGTACCATGAAAGTTAGAGACAATATGGACATGCATGCTTGTTGTCATTCCATTTTACCACAGTTAATAGAAATAGGATGGTTTGGAAAGCCGGCGAACTTCAAAGAGCGTCGGCAAATATGTTGCGCCACAAAGGAAGTGAAAGTCACGTGTCAAATAGTGTGCATGCTCTCGAGCGAAGTACTTAAGATTATTAATGCGTTCAACAAAAATCTTATAAAAAAGTGTTTTTAAAAGGTCGATACAGCTGAAATTGAAATGGAGGAAACTTCTGAGGGAGTTTTGGAAGAAATGGAAGAAATAACATCAAGTGTAAAGCCGTCTGGCCCATCGTCAAGCAGCGAGGAACTGACAATGTTATTCGATGAAGATGCTTTCCACATGAATATTGCGATTGATATTGTTGAAAATGATGACCTATCGGTGGAAAATGAATTTATAAACGCGTTGAACGAGAATGATGGTCTTATGGTTTATCCTTGGCATATGTATAACAAGATTTGTAAATCGAAAGGCGGTTTGACAAAGCACAAAAAATCAAAACATGTCGACGATGTTTCTGGCACCTCTGAGGGTTGCTATACAACACCACTCGACAAAAACACAATGAACTAAATCGTTAACACAATGAAGCAAAAATTATCGACGAAAAATTGTATGGAAACGAAATAGAATCCTCTATTAAAAATGTTACTGCGACAGAAGCACTCTTCAACGAGGTTGAGTCTTTATACTCGAAATTTTGTAAAAACAAGAATCAAGACAAATTGCTAAAAATCTTTCTATGGTTTAATGCTAAAGTCAACGACTCTTCTTGATTTGGCAGACTCTCGTATTACCAACCTTGTAATGATACATATTCCAGACCATTTAATATCATTCTATAATATAAGTGATCATTCTATAATATAAGTGGAAGAGGTGATGCTTCAGTCACCACCACTGAGAAACACAACAAAAGAATGTGAAAAGATTGAAGCATGTGAAATGGGACCTCTTTCCTATATTGCTGGATATCTTGTTAGGAAATTAACGAGTGCAAGAAAGAAAAAGAGTGAATCAGAGAACACTGAACTCCAAGGATTACTTGGGAGCCTGCAGTCGGAGCAAGAAAATAACAGCTTTATACAAGCTAGAAACAGAGGTGGTCTTGTCAACCCATCAGATGACCCCATAGGAATTTTGCAAGAGGCAAAAATAAACTTTCGTAGAGAGGTTAACAAATCAAAGGAGGTCCTCAGAAATATCCCAGTGGATGTGATTTGTTATAAAACTATTAGCATGCCCATTGTGAAATCATTGTGGGATAATCTAATATAGAAATAATGAATGTTTATGAGTGCAATGGTAAAAATATTTTCATTCGGTGAAAGATGGAATGTTCCATTCAACGAGGCTCCGAGTTTGTTTTAAATAATACCAAGATAGACTAATAGATTCGTATGAGAAGCATTTTGACGGATTCGATTTATTCTATAACACAAAAAGTGCAATGGAATAAAACGTATACCGCAAACCTCCAAATATAAGCCCCCCCCCCGAATATAAGCCCCCCATGTATTAGCCCACCACATGTATTAATGCTCACCTCATTCCAACTATAAGCTCCCCCCTGAAAATAAGCCCACTTGTTTATCACTATTGTTTATCACTATTACCCATGCTATTACCACTATTAATCGCTATTATTACAATAGTATGCTTGTTTAGCACTTGTTTATCACTATTACTATACTTGTTTATCACTATTACACTAACACAAAAGATCGTCCATGTATAAGACACCCCCCCCGTATATAAGCCCATCAAAAATTGCTTACGAAAGAATATAAGCCCAGGGTTTATAGTTGGAGGTTTACGGTAGTACAATTGCATTTGCAAAGAGTGCAATGGAACATATTCCATTGCACTCTTGGGAAATGGAATTTTCTATTCAATATCATGTGACCATAAACAGCAAATTAAACGATCAGAATTCAATAAGGTATTATATTAGGGGGAGAGTGCTGCCACTCAATAGGTTAAACCAAACTTGTAAATTATGTCAAATTTTAATCTGATTTTTGTAAATATATGTTTGAAAACGACAAGCGTAAGCAATCTCATTGGGTCATTAATCCAGAAAGATCCCCCAAGGAAATTTATGAAAGGTGGTTGGGAAAAAGTGTCATAAATTTTCCACTGCTAAGCATAAAAGGAAACAGAAAAATGTGTTTCACACATTTATAGAAGTAATGTATTATGCAGGTCAGGACATTTTTGTTGTTGTTCACAGTAGATTGGCATATTATATTTTATTTGTTGTTAGCAAGCCATCGTGTGATAACTTATATGTTTAGCCTATGGCTGATATTAGGATATCCAGTGGGAGGGGGGTGTATTTAGGTGGCACTTGCATCTAAACACTTTTAGAGTTTCAGTAAGGTAGTCCTCAAACAGTAACAAAGGAAGCTTTCAATGTTGGGGTGGGGGGAGTTGGAGAGACATGTGAAGAGCAAAGTGGGGGTTAAAAGGTTTGTAGAGCTGGGAGTTGAAAAGCTATGCAGGGCCTGGGGATTAAATAGCTAAAGTGCATGGAGTGTACAATTCTACAAAACATTAACAGACTAGCTTGGACAATTCCTTTATATTCATATACATATTTTATACTTATAGCAAAGTTACTTCATGTGACATCAGAATGGTCTAAAGTGATCACCAAGAGATTAGTAAAATATATTTGAATATACCAAAGTTCCCAATAACATGATATTAAAATGAAAGTTAAATGCAATAAAAATTATGAACTATGATTATGCTTCCCCACCAAAATTCAGTTCCTATGTACAGTATCTACCTTATGGAATACATATTGTTATTGGATGTTCGTTTCTTCAGTTCTGATGTAATCGCTCTGGTTCTGAAAATAATTTCAAGCCATTTCTGCCGAGTTTCCTTTTTTATTGACGACTTATATTCACTTTCATGCGCGCTCATGACTGGTATTCGAAACAATGAAATTTGGTGCTTTTGGCTTGTTGAACAACCAAAAAAAGCACAATTACGGCCAGGCATAGCTTTAATACTTCATAGCTAGCTAACGAAATTCCCAACAGATGGCCAACAGATATTATATTGATATTATTTCAATGTAAATTAGGTGGTTCGTGATATGATTGTTACGCCATTTTTAATATGATGCACACTATTTGACACGTGACCCTTCCAAGCATGGATCAAAGACATATTCCGAAACTCCGCCCACTTTCCAAACCATCCCCTTCTATTAACTGTGGTTCCGTAGATTAGCTATAAGACAATGGTGTCAATGCAGCTATTGTTTTTGGAATAATATATACATTTGATATATACGTTGGTGAAAACGTTTGTACCAGATTCATGTGCGC